CGTGTGTGTGCGTGTGTGCGTGTGTGCGTGTGTGCGTGTGTGCGTGTGTGCGTGTGTGCGTGTGTGCGTGTGTGCGTGTGTGCGTGTGTGCGTGTGTGTGTGTGTGTGCGTGTGTGTGCGTGTGCGTGTGCGAGTGCGAGTGAGTGAGTGAGTGAGTGAGTGAGTGAGTGAGAGAGTGTGTGTGTGTGTGTGTGTTCCACACGGTGGGGGCATTGGATAAGGAACCCTTAGATGAGGCATCCATGGTCTGGAAGCTGGTAGAACTCCAATCGAGGCTCGGCCATCGGTATCACCGCCGCCATCATAAGATAAGGGATCCTCCAGGGTCTGAAGCCTCCTGGGTGCATTAACCAACGCCCCCACCGTAACTCTGACGATTTGTTCTACTCTTTCCCTGCGACCCGCTTTTGATCCCGAGTCGTTTCTGCTGACTGCCCCCAGGCCTGGCAAGCGCCCCCGAAGGCCGAAAACGGCCAGAAACCTCCCGCCGTGATATTATTTCACGTCTGGTCTTCAGGTCATACCTCGGGTGTCTGGCGACCGTTCGGATCGATTCGGGCACCCCTGGGCGCAGCTGCTGGGAAGCACCCGGAGGCTGAAGTCCCCCCGGATCCGACGGAAACGTCTCAAGCCAGCGCAAGCCTCGCCAAGCACGGCGGCGGTCTGAACCCTGACATCCGCCGATATGTTGTTTTCAATGCCTGGCCCCAAAGGTCCCGACCACTTCTCAGGAGGTCATTGCTCCTCCTAGCTTTTGATGGTCCCGGGGCCCAATAGCGGCCCCCCCGGGCGAAAGTCGAAATCGGTGCAAACCGTCCAGATTGAACACGTCGCATCCTCGGGGATCTGGGCGGGTGGCTCCTGCGGACCGTCCTGCCCGGACGAGATCACCCGGATGAGGGGCACCGACGCCGCCGCCTCGAGGGCGAAGCGGTCCGAGCCCTCGGAGTCGGACCCGCCCCCCTCGGGGCACGACAGGCTCGCCAGCACCTCCCGCGCGTGCTCCATCAGCGCGCAGTCCTGGGGGATCTCCAGCCGCTCCGCCTCGGCCAGGGCCAGGCGGAGGTCCTTCAGCGATCGCCTCTCGGCAGGCCGAGAGGGGGGGGGAGGGACGAAGCACAGGCGGCGGCGACATCCGGGCGCAGCGGGTTTCTCCGAAGGGTTTAGGCGACCCGTCCTCCTCCTCCTCCTCCTCCTCCTCCTCCTCCTCCTCCTCCTCCTCCTCCTGGGGGCGTCATCCAGGCGTCGTCAGCGTTTTTTTCATTCGGCGTTTCGGCATTGGGCGGAAAAGGGGGGGAAGGGGGGGTCTGGCTCCAGACCTCTGCTTGGTGCAGCTGTTTGCAAGCGTGCGTCTGGGGGAGACTGCGCCTGCTCGAAACAAACGCCAAAAAACAGCCAAGATCTACTCCATGGGGGGGAGGGGGGAAGAGGAGGAGGAGGAGGAGGAGGAGGAGGCGGGGAGGAGAGGAGGAGGAGAGGAGGAGGAGGAGGAGGAGAGGAGTGGGGGAGGAGGAGAGGGGAGGATGAGCGAGGAGGAGGAGGAGGAGAAGGAGGAGGAGGAGGAGGAGGAGGAGGAGGAGGGCCCGCGCCGATCGGCAGAACACGGAGTCACAAAAACGACGACGCAGCCTTCGCTTCGCGCCGCGTGTCTTCGCCTGCGTGGCGGGCCCCGCGGCCATCACAGGGCGATCCGGCTCGAGAGCCACCGGTCCTCTGCGCGGCACGCAAAGCGTCAGGGCCCGCTGCCCCAGGCGGACTCGCTCGCCACGGGTCCATTCTGGATGGCCCCTGGGGCCGACAGCGGCCCCCAGAGGCTGATATCTCGAGGGGGGGGGGACACTTTTTTGGTCTGCGGGTCGAGAGCGAGGGCGACGTCCATCGGAGAGACGAGGCCCACGCGGGGCCCCCAGAGGTGCCGCCTGAAGCCCCACTTCTCCTTCCAGCGGTAGGCGGAACGTAGCTCGCTCTCGGAGGCCCTCTTGTACATGAGCCCGTGCCCGTGGTCGGCGGAGTCGCTGGCGTAGACGCGAGGCACATAGGGCGCGGCCAGGTCGACCTCTGTCAGCCAGACGAGCCCGACTACGACGCGCATCTCCTGCATGACCTCCCGCGGCAGGGTGGTCCGTGCGCCCCGCGCGGTCTCGGCGAACCGGCAGGTGGCCGAGAGCGCTGCGCAGCCGGGCCTGGCCAGCATCAGCAGCGAGACCGCGTGGCCGAGCCAGACCTCCATGTGCTCACCCCGCATCTTCCCCTGTGCCAGCAGAGCCCGAGTGGCTAGGTCGAAGCGCCAGACTCGGGGGGCTTTGTTCCGAAGGCGCCCCTTCAAGATCTTGAGGTCGATCTCGACCCCGACCGTCTCGAGGTGGGTGACCGCGTCAGGGCGACTCCAAGTGATAGGGAGGCCGCAGCGCTCGGCCTCAGCACGCAGGGCGGAAGCAGCCTCGCGAGCCAGGGGCGCGTCGCGGCCCAGGACAGTGATGTCGTCAACGTAGACACTGCCCATCACCCTGGACTCGAAGGTCGGGGGCCGGGCGGTGCTCCTTCACCGTGGCGGGCTCCACGGACGGGGGGGCCGAAGGGCCCGAGCCGTCATGGCTGAGACGGCCTCCTGCGCGACATGCAAGGCCCAAGACCACCCCATACACATAGCACGCATACACGCGTAGAGCACCATGTCGTCCTCCGCCGAGACCATCCTGTTCGGGTCCGGGCCCCAGAAAGCGCCGACGCTGATGCCCTAGATGTCCCTGATCGTCACAACTGGCAGCGGGTCGTCGAAACCAAACCGCTCAGCCAGGCCGTCGATCGCAAAGTTGTAGAAGCAGTCCTCCACGTCGGCCTCGTTCCCGCGGGGGTCCCAGCCGACGATGCTGTCGACTCCGTCGAATGAGCCGCCCCCGATGGAGAAATCGAGGTCGGCGAGGGCGCCGGCCGACCCAAGCCTGGAGGTCGGCGGCGCACGATGGCAGGAGTTCGCCTGCCTCACATCAACTTTCACTATGATCTCGCCTGGTTTTTTCTTTTCGCGAAGAAGAGAGCGGCCCGGGCACGAAGCCGACGTCTGAAAATAAAAAGCCCGGAACGGTCGACTCGCGCATGAACTCCATCCCCCCCCTCATCCTTCTCGATGTACTGCGCTGGGTTGCGGATCATCTCCGCGGCTAGCGGCGGCAGGGAGTTGGCCACGGAGCGCGGCCGCGCTCGTCCCTTCGCGAACTTGAGCTTTGTCAGGTCGAACGGCGCGAGGTTCTTCGGCCCTGGGAATGCAGGTCTTTGGACGCCAGCGGCTCGCGCGCGGCCCCGTCGGCCGTCAAGCCAGGAGGGGGGCCCCGACGGCGTCGACGCGCTCCACAATGCTGTCCAAGATCGAGTCCTGGACGGCGGCAGGGGCTCGAGCAGACCGGCTAGCCTGGTGAAGCGTATCAGAATTCGGTTGAGCAGCAGCGAGATGGTAGAGCGAAGCCCGCGCCGAGACTGCCCGCGGTCGCTGCCCGCGGTGGGCGTCTAACTTCGCAAGCTGGGACGCAGAAAAATGCGGCAGCGGGAAGGGATCTCCGCGCCGCCGTCTCGAGGGCCTCCAACGAGTAGACCGTCCCCGATCCTCTGGAGCAGCGCCGGACTGAGCTCGGGGGCCCAACTCAGCCCGGAAGGCCTCGGTCACCCCGAGCACTCTTGTCGCCCTTGCCTCGGGCACGATTGCCCTTGCGGCCAGGTCCCTTGTCGGTGTCCGACGAGCCACGGGCGGGCTGCAGGGCGCGCTGCTCCTCGTTCCACAACCGAGTCTGCTTGTAGATGGCGGCCTGTTCCTTGAGGCGACCGGTCACCCACTCTGTGAACTTGCTCGTGCTGGCCTGGCCCTGCTCGGTTGTCGGGGCGTGCAAGACGATCTCCAGACCTCCGTAGTCTGGATGCCGAGGGTTACGGGCCACTGCAGTCTCATCCTGGCAAATCCTTCGCATGATGAGCTCGAAGCTCGACAAGTTCGTGACGTCGAGCTGGTCGGTCTGCATCGCCAGTCGGGCCGCCTCACACAGCACGTAGTGGATGTGCGCCACCGCCGAGGACTCGCTCACTCCCGAGCGTCGAACCCATGGCCCATGGCAAGAGGTCGCGTCGCCAGGCCCGTCCCTGATCGAGACCAGCCACTCTTTGGCGACGCGGGGGTCCGGCGAGACCCAATCGTCGCAGTCGGTCTCACGCATCATCGCGACCGCCTCCGCGAGCGCGAGGTGGCGGCGCCCTGAAGCGTCACGATGATCACCCAGAAGTCGCAGATCACCAGCTCCTGCATGGCGCGCCGTCTTCCACGCTTCGAGCTGGCCGACCTGAACCTTCTCAACAAAAACCTCCAGGTCACTCACGATGGCGACGCCTTTGTTCTGCCCCAGGGTGGCCTGCTCGACCTCCGGGTCGGTCAAAATCTGCCCGAACCTGAGGTGGGACGTCTCGCTGACCACCCATCCGAAGTTCTCCATCTCCACATCCTGACCGTCGTCGCCCAGGATGGCTGCCTGCACAGCCGTTTGTCTCTTGAGGGCAAGGATGTCCGCCCTCGGCACAGGATCGAATCCATACGTCTGAGCACGACGGTTGGCGGGGAACATGGCATTGCGCTCGAGCATGATGTGTCTCTGTTCGAGAAGATTGTGTCGCACCAGCTCCAGATTGGGGGTGGTCGCAATTCACACCCCCGCTGTGATCTTCTTAACCAGTATGCGATGGTGCCATTCTAGACCCGCCTCATCATCGGGATAGTGAACGAGAACTTGGGGTTCGGGGGTGTCCAACGTGTCCATCCTGGAGACTGTTGGGCATCGCCGCTGCTGTCGGAGGTGAGCTCGAGAACACGCCCAGGGCTCGTGCAGCGCAGCCGCGCGCCACGCCGAGCAGGAATATCGCGAGCCAGCTGAACACAACGCCGATGAGCACGCCCAGCGCCAGCCAGGTGCTCCAGAGGCAAAGAATCGCCGAGGGTGCCGCCGAACTCTCCGCTGGCGACGTCTGCCCGCCGCAGGTGCACGAGGGACAACCTGGGCAGGGCGGGCAACCTCCACACGTGAGCGCCGGGGGCGCTGGGCAAGCCAGTACTGATGGGCAAATGGGCAAGGAGGAGCCGCGGGACACCGACTGAGGTATGCCAACAAGCCGTTGGCAGCCAGATCTGGGAGGCGCTGCCACATCGGCCTTCAAGACTTGAGCGAATGGATACAGACAGGCGGGCCTCAGCGAGGGGATAGCTGTAACAATCAAATATAGTATATTATATATTATATACGATATAGTATATATTATTGATTATATCTACATATATATATATATATATATATATATTGTTGGCGCCCCTCCGACGAACCGCATCGTCGGAGGTGTCTGAGATCTGGGTAGAAGAAACGAAAACGCCATAAACATACACTTGTGGCACTCCGGGCGGACTTCTTGGATCTGCGCTGGGCCCCCGTCCCTGGCGCGCGGAACGCGCCAGGGGCGGCGCCGGAGGGGCCCAGCGCGCATCCAAGAAAACCGCGCGGAGCGCGACAAGTTTATGTTCATGGCGTTTTCTCTTCGACTGGGACCCCTCGTCCTCGTCCTCGTCCTCGTCCTCGTCCTCGTCCTCCCCCCCTCCTCCTCCTCCTCTCCTCCTCCTCCTCCTCCTCCTCCTCCTCCTCCTCCTCCCCTCCCTCCCTCCTCCTCCTCCTCCTCCTCCTCCTCCTCCTCCTCCTCCTCCTCCTCCTCCTCTCCTCCTCCTCCTCCTCCTCCTCCTCCTCCTCCTCCCCACTCCTCCCCACTCCTCCCCACTCCTCCCCACTCCTCCCCACTCCTCCCCACTCCTCCCCCGTCGGCGGGCCTCTGCGTGGCGCTCATGAGGCGCCGCCTCGCCTCGGACCGCTGCGCCCCCTCGGCCGCCTCCGGGCCCCCCGCGCCCGCCGCGGCGGCGCCCTCCGGCGCGGCGCCCTCCGGGGGCGCACCGCCCCGCGGCTCGGCCTCGGCGGAGGATCCCCGGCTCGCGCTCGTCGGCTCCTCCAGGAGCCTCCGGCGGACCGTTTTCCAGGAGCGCCCCTCCTGCGGGGGGTTCGAACCCGAGCAGGATCGCGCCGTGAAGAAATCCGGACGGGGGGCGTTTGACGATTTTCGGCCCCGGGGGGCCCTCGCCGGGCCTCGGGGCCGTCAAAAAACACGACGCAGGAGGAAAAAAAAACCGGCCCCAGGGAAAGGGTCGGGACTTGCGGGGACGCCGTCCACGCCGCCGTGGGACGCTTTTTTTTCCGGCAGCCGCGCCTCGCCGAGAGCGCTAACTTCCAGGGGCGCCAGGACTGCCCCGAAGGGCCGCCCGGAGCCCGAGCTCCCCAGACCCCCGACGTCGTGATTTTTTCGCAACGTCGACCCCCAGAGGTCTGGACTCGTTCCCCGGGGCCGGTTTTGCATCCTGAGTCGTTTTTTGACGGTCCCGAGGCCCAGTAAGGGCCCCCCGAGGCAGAAAATAGATAAAACCTTCCGTCGTGAAAACATAATCCAAAAATGCTCCCAAATGATCAGGAAGCACAGGAATATTGTCCCCTGACTATTTTTGTATCGGAGGTGAGGGGGTGAGATCGAAGTGGAACGGAGAGCCCCCCTACCGGGAAATCGATTTCGGTTTCGTGTTCGTGCGTGCCGTGCGTGCGGGCGAGGCGAAGCTGCGTGGGCGGGCGAGAGGAAAGTCTCCTGTGCTGAGGCGCGGCCGGACCAAATGATTCTCCACCGGGCGGCCGGTGGCGCGCGGTGTCCCGCCGGTGTCCCGGTGGTGTCCTCTGTGGCTGAGGCGCGGCCGGACCAAATGATTCTCCACCGGGCGGCCGGTGGCGCGCAGTGTCCCGCCGGTGTCCCGCCGGTGTCCCGTCGGTGTCCCGTCGGTGTCCCGATCATGATGTTGATGATGATGATTATGATGTTGCTGATGGCGATGATGATGATGTTGGTGTTGTTGATGATGATGATGATGATGATGACGTCGATTGTGAGATCGATTGTGATATCGATAGTGAGACCGAATGTGAGATCGATTGTGAGATCGATAGTGAGAGCGGTTGTGAGATCGATAGTGAGATCGATAGTGAGACCGAATGTGAGACCGAATGTGAGATCGACTGTGAGATCCATTGTGAGATCGTTAGTGAGATCGACAGTGAGACCGAATGTGAGACCGAATGTGAGATCGATTGTGAGATCGATTGTGAGATCGACTGTGAGATCGATTGTGAGACCGATAGTGTGATCGATTGTGAGATCGATAGTGAGATCGATAGTGAGACCGAATGTGAGACCGAATGTGAGATCGACTGTGAGATCGATTGTGAGATCGATAGTGAGATCGACAGTGAGACCGAATGTGAGACCGAATGTGAGATCAATTGTGAGATCGATTGTGAGATCGATTGTGAGATCGATAGTGAGATCGATAGCGAGATCGATAGTGAGATCGATAATGAGATCGAATGTGAGATCGATAGCGAGATCGATTGAGTGAGACGTTGGTTCCCCCTCCCCCCTCACCTCCTTATCACCCGCAGGGTGGGCGTATAGGTATTTTTGAATCTTCCTCCTGTAGAAGGACAGGCCCGACTCAACCTTAAAGAAGGCGGGGGGCTTGTTGAAGGCCAGGGCCTCTCTACAAGAGCCCTGCCCGCCATCTCACAGAATGCGCCCCCTGGCGCCACCCCCTTGTGCGCGCCGCCGACTTCTGCGGACCGCCTTCCAGAAGGCCGCAATCCAGGACAAAACGCCGGCCTGAAAAAATCACACCCTCGGATGTCTGGGACGATCCTGGCTGAGCCGGTCCCAAACATGCGACGTCCTGATTTTTTCAGGACGGCGTCCCGGATGTCCCGATCCCCGGGGCGGGTTCTTCGTCCCGCGTCGTCTTTGGACGGCCCCGAGGCCCGGCGAGGGCCCCCCGGGGCCGAAGACTGCCCAAAACCTCCCGTCCTGATTTTTGGTTGTGACGCGATCGTGTCTGGCCTCGGACGTCTGGGACGATCCTGGCTGAACCGATGCTGGGCCCTGGGCCAGCGCACGATGCGCCTGCGCGGGCTCGGTCCGCGAGGCACGCGGCGGACGCTGCCCGAGGCGTCCCTGGCCCTCCGCGCGCCCGCGGGAGCTCCAGGGAGGCCCTGGGCACCACGAGAGCCACGGGGGCGCCAGCGTGGGGCGAAGGGTCACCCTCCTCCTCCTCCTCCTCCTCCTCCTCCTCCTCCTCCTCCTCCTCCTCCTCCTCCTCCTCCTCCTCCTCCCTCTCCTCCTCCAGGCAACGGCAGCCATGGGGGTGGACCGCTTGAGTTCGCATGATCTCCTTCGGCTACCCGATGAGGCTTTGCAGGAGTTGTCGGCTTTGCTCAGTGTATGCGAGGCCACTCAGACATGGCCACACCAGATTTTACTTACCATTGGGACTCTTTTACCAAAGAAAGTATCAGGTGACAGAATCATCGGGCTGCTTCCACACCTCTCGCGTGTGTGGTCGCAAGCACGAGAGTCATATGTGAAGCAGTGGACCACTGAGTGTGAAGCTCACTGAGATGCAGCTATTAAAGGAACTGGGGCGATTCGTGAAGTTTTCTTGAGAGCGATCGACGAGGAAGTTTCGGCGAGGCTCAAGATCAGTCACGGGAACGGTCTGCTGGACATAGGCAAGTTCTACGACACGATCGGATGGCTGATGGTAGGCAGGGCTGCGATGCGGCTCGGCTTCCCAGCCGAGGTATTGGGTCTGGAGTTGATGCAGTGCATGGCGGCGCGGTGTTTGCGCCAGTCAGGCACGTACTCGGAGCCTTTCGCTCCCCTGCGTTCTATTGTCCAGGGCCTCCGCGGAGGCACACGATTCGCCAAGTGCGCGACGTACCACATCATGCATCGGCTCACGACGGTGCACGTGGGTATGTCTCAGCGGCTGTGGATTGATGACCTCAGCCAGTCGATTAAGAGTACCAGCGAGACGATGCGCAACAAGCTCGTACGGTGCCTGGTGGACACATGCAGGTCGATGCAGCGCGCGGGCTTGTCCATCTCGCCGAAGAGTGTTGTTGTGTGCACGAAGCTGGACGACGCCAAAGCCATTGTGAGGAGAGTTCGCGCCCATGGATTTGTGGTCAAAGCTGTACCGCAGGCGCCATATCTGGGGGCCGACCTCGGCGGCGGGTCTCGTCACGCACGTGCCAGTCGGACAGCTAGGCAAGCTAAGCACAAAGCCATGCACAAGCGAGTTATCAAATATGCCAGAGCCACTCGTCGGTATGGTCTTACTTCAAGGTTGGAGCAGCAGGGTGCCCAAGCGGCTGGGGCCTACGGGCACCAGCTCCACGGCGCAGTCGGAGACGTCATGACACAACTACGCAGGAAACTCGGCAACGCTATTGGACCCAAGATGCCAGGTCGGTGTCTCACGACGCTGATTGATTTGAAAGCAGTTGGCAAGGACCCAGCGTGCAAACTTGCTCGCGAGTGTCTTCGTCTCTGGCTTACCTGCTGGGTGCGCCAGCCAAATATCCATGACAGCATTATGCTCACGTGGCCTGGGCTGGTTCAAGAGATGAGAGCTATGCCGCCGAGTCAGAGGACGCTGCACATCCGCGGCCCTCAGGGTGCAGTGATCTGTTACCTTCTGCAGGCGGGGTGGCGACCAGATTCACCGACAAGCTGGACCACGCCGACAGCGGATGACGGTCAAGAGCATACATGGCAGTTTTCGGTTGACAATCTCACGGGCATTGAGCACTTAGACGTACCCAACGCCTTTTTCGACGAGTATGAGCGTACTGTGCAGAATGGTCTGTGGACACGTGCAGCTCAACACCATGAAGGAGCAGGACTTGAAAGTGGGGCCTGCAATCAGTCGTACCGTCGCCTGCTACGGCACCTTGAGGGCGCTCCTGGTGGTCGACGACTTGCAGGTCTTATGCTTGCGATCGCCGTCGGGGCCACGTGGCCCCGCACACGGCGGCAGGAGCGGGCCAAGCAGGAGATGTCCCAGGACTGCCTTCGGTGCCGTGGTCATCGT